ATTAGTAACTTGAAATGTTACATCCAAAAAGTTTACCACGTTACCGCTACCTGTTATTTCTAATTCCAATTCCGTTCCATAAATCGAGCTTGTAACATTAATGAAATTATCTATATTTATCAGACTTCTAGCTTTTCTGGTTTTTGAGTTGAAAGTGGGTGATAAAAAGTGTGAACACACACACACACACACACACACACACATACAGACTGCCTCCTCTCATTATCTGTTTTTGCAATTTGCATATATGCAAAAATGCATAAAAATGAATAATCTTCTACCGCTTTTCAGAGTGCCACGAACGGCGCACCTAGCAATGCAGTACCACAATTTGCATCACACAGTCAGTGGAATTTATCTGATAGCCGCCATGTCCAATCGGAAAATGCTGCTGGCTATGCGTACTTCGGAAATCCATTGCAAACAAGTGTTTTCAAACAAGCTAATTTTGCTCTTCAGGACCATGCAGATCATCAAACTCGGTCTCAGGAATCACTCCCAGATTTGCAGCTACTGCACGATCTTGAACAGTATTTGCTTTCACTGCAAGAATACCAGGCTAAAAATTTTCCACGATCTCTTGATTACTTAGGAAGTGAAGACAGTTTTGCTCTACGACTAAGCAAACAAGACGCGGGAGTTCACAGCTCGAATTCCGAAGTTTCCATGCCCTCGAATAGTTTGCTCAGGGAAATACTGCAAAGGCCACCGGTAGCTCAGTCAATGTTATCACTGGTGCAGAGAAATTTGCTTGATTCAGCAGTTGCCACATGGCTACAACCCACGCTCGCCGATTTAACTTCTGACATCAGTGAAAGCCAACGAGAACTGAATTATTGGTCAGCTGTCATCGATGCCGCGCAAGTGCAACAGCCTGATGGACACATATACACAGGGATCACCTGTCCGAGACTTCGAGCCAATATTTATTATGATAACCGCGCTAAAACTGGAAATCGATTTGATAGCGATAGCGACTGTGCTGGATATTATGTGAGTAAAGTAGAAGAGAGATGAACATAGAAATATAACATTAATATAGATGGAGTAAATTCAGAACCATTTATGCAAATATATTTTTATGCGTTTTTGCTTATATGCAAATTGTGAAAACGCATATTGCGACGACTTTGTCTG